GCTAAGGCCCGGCTCCCTGTGGCCCCCTTTACAGGCTGCCGTCAGCACCGCACAGCGCCCCGAAGCAGCTGGGAAAAAATTCAGCGCTTGAGGGCAGGGGAAGAGCTGGAGGACGAGCGCTTCGAAACATCATGAGGCCTCTTCTGGCTCTCGCCGCCGAACACGCAAGAGGTCTCACCAGCGCCAGGCTTTTGCAGTCGAGGCACTCCCTGGGGGAATAGCAGGGGACAGGGATGCTCTGGGACAGGGATACCAGGGGACAGGGATGCTCTGGGATACGGATGCTCTGCAACAGAGATGCTCTGGGACAGGGATGCTCTGGGACAGGGATGCTCTGGACCAGGGTGCTCTGGGATACGGATGCTCATGCCTGGGACAGGGATGCTCTGGGATACGGATGCTCTGGCTGCTGGAGGAAGGAGGCTGGCAGGAACGGGGACCATGACTTAGCGTCACGGCTGGGAACAACCTGGTTTCGTTTTAGCCTGCCGGCGAGGGGCCCAACCACCTCTCCTGCCCCGGCGCGAGCAGCACCTGCCAAACCGCACGCACGACTTTCTGCCGATGAGCAGGAAGTACATAGGAAGGGCAATCGGCAAAAGCCACAAAACCATCTCAGAGGATGCTTCGGGGCCATGAACCCGGCAGAGCTCCTGTTCGGGCAGCAGGTCGGTGCTGCCAGCCCCGGGCTGGGAGCAAAGCCCCTTCCTGGGGCTGCTGGGCTGATCGCAACGGGCTCTGGGAAACATTTTTGTCAGACGGCCCGGCCCGAGCCCCTCCTGGAGCGACAGGGAGGAGGAGAGCAGCCTGCAGGGCGCAGCCACCTCCAGGACCCTCCTTTGCAGCGGCCAGATGTGGCCACTTCCCTGCAAGGTGTCCCCTGGCCTGGGGGCCAGGACATTCAATTACTACGATACCGTAATAAAAACGCTGTTGAGGATCGACTATCTTTCTTTTTTGGAGTCTCCAGCATCATGCTAAAAGTACTAGGCCGGCGCTTTACAAATATACTAAGTTATTTCTCCGCTCCCTCTGTTCCCACTAACGAACTTGCACCAACCTGAATGCCAGCACTGCAAAGACTGGTAAAACTCAAGAGAAAGCGGAGCTTGCGAGGCGCTTGTCAGCGCCGCTTACAAAGGACGCTGTTTTGGGTTTCTTTCCATACGAAATACATTTTTCGCTTGTAATTATGAGTGGCAGAAAGCCAAAAGCCAAACCTGTTTTCGGATTTGAACATAGCGCGTTCATGCCAAGGTGAGGTTTTACCCTTTTAAACGCTTTGCAATCAGTTCAGCAGCTTTTGCTCGTGTCGGACTTGCCTTGGCGGGGCAAGGGGCACGGCCTCGGTAAGGACACGCGCGGTTTTCCGACAACTCTAGTTTTTAATCTATAAAATGTATTAAAATAAACAGGTTTTGCACAAGGATGGGAGCTCTGCGTGGGGCACCGCCGGCCTCAGTTTCCCTTCACACCCTGCACTTTCTGCATCTGCTGCAGAGCCGCTCGGGGCGGGGGGGGTGAGGGGGGCCGTTTTGGCAACTTCACTTGCAGAATTAGTATTTTCTGCGTGTTTCGGCACGCGTGTTGCCTGGGGTGCCAGATGCACTTTCCTGGGCGGTGCCACAGCTCCCACGCGCCGCAGGGGCCTCGCTCGGGCCGGCGGCTGGCCCCCGGGGACGGGAAGCGCGTTCGTACATTTTGACGGCTCGTTTGACCCCGCCATGCCAACAGACCCATGCGTTGATAAAAGAGTGTTTGCCTGCAGCTATTTTTTGCAAATAGCTCGGGGGGGGGCTGCATTTAGCCTGGATTTAGCCTCCCAGGCTGCTCTTTGCCCCAGCCCTTTCCTCAACCTACCCAGCTCTCTTGACAGCAGCTCTGGGAGATCCCGTTAGCTTTGCAGGTCTTATCATCCCTATGGCAGCGTTTGCTGAAGCTACCTGAGACTTTGAAGCTTTCCGTTCCCCCAAAACTCCTGTGATGTGACCGGTTTCCCCAGATCAGGGGGTAAATGTGCCTAAAGGAAAAGAGGAAATGAGAAGGCAGTGACAGCATGGGAAAAGGCAAATTCTCACCAGATAAGTAAGTGTCACCTAAGCGATAATGAGGTCTGCTGGGCTGCTAGAAAGAGAGGCTGGTGGCAAAGAGCGAGCAAAGCACCCCTGAGAACCTTGCAAAACCCAAGCGCGTTTTCGCGTGCGGAGAAAACGCACGAGAGCCGGTCTCGCAGCTCGGCAAGGGGTGCCAAAACGCGCTGGTGACCCCCAAGGAGGCAGGAGAGCAGTAACGCCTCCTCCCAGGCGCTGTCCGGGCCGCCGCAACGCGGCCAGACACCGCAAGGGGTGTCGAGGCTCGCTGGCCTCAGCCTCCTCGGAGGGCTCTGTGCCTTCAGCTGTTTGTTGCAACCTGAGAAGGAAGCCAGCCATAAAAGGAGAAAAAAAGACTCAGAAAAGATGTGAAGAGCGAGAGTTAACAGCAACCTGAGAGGAGAGGAAACAGACCCGTGTTTTGAAAGCAAAAGCCTGCCCTTACGGGAAATCAGAGCACTTTTGCAGCTCACCAGACTCAGGTGCTCCTTCGCGACGAAAGCCCTCGGCAGCCCTCAGCGCTGCACGGTGAGTCCCATGGGTTGCTCTCCTGGCGGGAACGCTGCTCTCCTGGTGGAGACACTGCTCTCCTGGTGGGGACATGGGTCTCCTGGTGGGGACACTGCTCTCCTGGTAGGGACGCTGCTTTCCTGGTGGGGACATGGCTCTGCTGCTGGGGACGCTGCTTTCCTCATGGGGACACGGCTCTCCCGGTGGGGACATGACTGTCCTGGTGGGGACACGGCTCTCCTGGTGGCTGCACAGGGCCGTGAGAGCCTGGGTGGGTGCAGGTCTGCAGAGTGGAGCTGCAGGGGCTCACGTGGCTGTGGAGGCTGCCTTGCAGGCACCACCGTAGGTGCTCGCTGCTCGGGGCGCACTTCTCAGGGTGGGATCAGCGTCCCGCAGCACCCACCGCGCTCTCCAGGGGGTGGCAGCGGGAGAGCTGCAGGCGCGATGGCAACACCGGCACAGCAGGGCTGGCAGCACGTCTGCGAAGCCCACCGCGGCCAAGGCGATGGCCTCAACCCTCCTTTCCCCGTCAGAGGCGCTGGGTCTCCCCATGGGGCTGCTCAGCAGCAAGAGCAGCACCTCCAGCAGAGGCAGCTTCCAGGGCAGTGCTGGGGAGCTGCTGTTCAACGCCCTGGAAAAGCTGTCGGAGATGGATTTTAAAAGATTTCGGGATGTGCTGGCGCACGGAGACCTCCAGGGCCAACGCTGCATTCCCTGGGGGCGGCTGCAGAAAGCCGACTGGACCGACACGAAAAACCTCATGCTGCGTTTCTACGGTGGAGACGCCGCCCTGAACGTCGCTGAGGCCGTGCTGGAGCAGATCCATCTCCGCGACACTGCAGCCTGGCTCCTGGAAGAGAGAGAGAAAGGTGGGAAAGCTGAGGCTGGGCT